AAAAAAAAAAATATCCTCAGAAACAAAGATGGCAACAGACTGAGCATCTCTTCACTTCCCCTTTATCTTTTCCAGAAGAGACCACCATGAGCAGTGACCGCATGGACTGTGGCCGCAAAGTCCGAGTAGAAAGTGGTTACTTCTCCTTGGAGAAGACCAAACAGGATCTGAAGGCCGAGGAGCAGCAGCTGCCCCCACCACTCTCCCCTCCCAGCCCCAGCACCCCTAACAACAGGTATAGTGGCCCTGGACCATCCTCCCAGGAACTTGGTCACCCTCTTCCTCCCCCAGGTCCTCGACCCTCCAGCCGAATGGTCTGCAGCATCTCTCTTGGCTCTTTGGACGTGGCCAACCACCATCACACCAGCGTGGATTCTGACAACACTGGGGGGCGGGGAGCAGAGACACTGGGGCACTCCTTTGCCTTTAAAGCCAGCAGGCAGTATGCCGCCCTGGCCGATGTCCCTAAGGCCATCAGGATCAGCCACCGAGAAGCCTTCCAGGTGGAGAGAAGGCGGCTGGAGCGTAGGACTCGGGCCCGGAGCCCTGGCAGGGAAGAGGTGGCCCGTCTGTTTGGCAACGAGAGGAGGTAAGTAGAGGAGTAAGGGGCAGAATACACACACACACATACACACACACTGTCTTCTGTACTCCCTCACCCAATTGATAGCACACATACTCACATTCTCTCTCACACTGTGCATGCTCATACTCTTTCACAAACTCTTCTCACTTTGTCGCACACATTCCTCCTTCCTCCCCTCCCCGCCCCTCCCAAACACACTCACGGGTTCCTTAAGCCTTCCTTGGGAGTGTATATTTGTTCTTCCTTTCTGTTAGGTTCACATGGGGAACCTCTCCATTTGGACTCTGGTCTCAGAACTTAGCCCCTGGTAGCCAGTATGTAGGATGTTCGGACACAAGAGATCTAGGGAGTGGCTAGCTGTTTCCAGAATGCCTCCTGACCCTGGGATCTTAAAGAACCCTGGGCAGGCAGTTCTCAGCTGATAGGCTTGCATGACTGGATCTTCTTCCTGACCCATTTCTCTTCTCTGAGATGATGGTGAGGCAGGAAGACTTCAGCTGCAGAGGGTGGCAGAAATTCTCCTTGCCCTTACAGTCTTGGCCCAGGGGGAAGATGGCATGTCCACCAGGGTGGGGGCAGCACAGGTTCCCTCCTTGACTGCCTCGCACGGAAGCCCTGTACCTGGCAGCATTGCTCTCAGTCCAGGTGTGGCTGAAACAGGGAGGCTGACCAGAGCCACAAATTCCTGGGGAGAGATGTGGTTTAAATGATGAACCTACATCAGGGGCTAAGGTTAGGGGACTGCAGTTGGGAAGAAGAGGGCTCAACCCTTCCCTTCTCAAAAGAGGTCTAGATCTAAGTTTCAGATGTGTTCACAGTGTTCTTTCTGCATTGACAAAGCCTAAGTAAAGCTCACATTTGTGTCATTCTATGGGGACAGGTCCAGGTGGTAATGGGCTCCCCCAGGATGCACCAGCCAGGAGTAGGGTGCCTTTCTCTTCTGACACCTACTCACGCTTTCAAGGGAGAAAGGAGCTGTGTACACATACATGGTCCAGCCTCCAGTATGAGGAAAAGATGCCCATAGTTGGTCTTGAAAAGAAAACAGGATGTGCTTCATTCCCAGGGAGGGAGAGGGAAGCTGAAACTATTACCAAGCACCTGCTAGTACCTGGAAGTGACCTAATAAGTTGTTACAAACCTGAGGGGCCTGTGTCACTAGCTCCATTGGGTAGTTGATGAGACTGGGGGTGAGAACCAGGGTGATGCCTCATGGGAACAGCCATGATGACAGAACCAGGACAAACATCAGCTGGCCCCATGTCATGGCCTGTTACTAGGCCAAGGCTGTCCTTAAAGCAATTTAAGGAAACATATAAGTAAAAGGACTTCATAGAGATCCAGGAGGCCAGCAGGATGGAACTAATGAGGTTTTGTAGAGGCAGGCAGCCAGCCAGGCCCTGGGTTAGTGGCCTGCCAGAGCACTCAGCACACCTGCTTGGCTTTCGAGTTCTCATCTGGAAGCCCAGGGTAGCCAGCCACTCCAGGGCTTTGCTTTCCGCATGCTCTTTGCCACAATAGGGATGGGCTTTCATCCGCTTCTTGCATCCCTGGGGCCCACTGGTTCACATCCTAACACTTTCTCGCTAACCCTGATGACACCTAACTGGCTTCTGTCACTTCCTAAGCCTGCTCTCTGGTCCCAAGTACCCTGCCTTTTGCCTGATTGGATTCCTGTCCCCTAGTTGAGTAGAGCAGAACCCCACCTTGGCAGGACGTCAGCCATGGATGCCTGGCATGGCAGATAAGATGGACCTGCCTCAAAGCCCAGCTGTAGACTAAAGTAGGTAGTTTACACACAGACCGTAGCTCTGAACCTATCCCAGGTGGGCCACGTCATATTTTGCTCTTGTGACTTGCTCCAAGATATGTTTCTTGGATAGTGAGATGCTGATCTGCAGAGGCTGTACTCACTTCCCCTCGACACTGCATCACTTTTCCAGAATGCAAGAGAAACCCTCCTTCCAAAAGGTTGGTGACTGACACCAGAGCCAGCTCCCTCCAGGTGGACCTCCCACCCAGCTAGGAGCCTGGAAACAGAGAAGAGCTATAGCTTTATAGCTTTTTTTTTTTCTGTTTGTCAGCCAGGCTAGTGAGGCATTTGCTACAGTGCCCACAGTACTTCAAGGAATCTAGTTAAAAATTTCATAAAGTAATTCATGGCTGACGTCCCAGAACCCCCGTCTATGTGAAGAAGCTGAGCAAGCACCACTTTCCTCTTTTTTAACCTGCCTTCTGTCTTTGAGGCCCTGGCAGCCCTGCAGCATGTGATTGGCATGTGACTTGGCCAGGCCTGTTCCTTAAGGCCTCCTGGAGCTTTCTAGGTCCCATTGTCAGCTAGAGGGGCTCTCAGGCTGCATGTTGCCACTGAGGCCTGTGAATGGGCCTGGATCTTATCCCAACCTTACCAGGATGCTCGGCAAGGTGGATGCCTCACCTGCCCAACACGGCTGAGCACCTGTAAGAGCTCCTTGTGGTTCCCAGAACTCCTGCTGCTTCCTTAGCTTTCTGCGCTCTTGACACATGCCTCTCCTGCTGCCCTCCCTCAGCCACCACCTACACTGCTGATTCTGGCAGGGTGGCTATTCCTGGAGAAGACTCTGGAGAAGCTTAGTGTACCTGAGTGCCCACATTTTGTGGGGAAGCTCAGGGAGGACCAAAGAGCCCAGGTGACTCTGATACATCTTCTCTTGGTATTTCAACATCCTTGCTGAAGAAACCCTAAGAGATTTTAACCAGTAACCTTCCTTGAAAAACAGCTAGCCTTGTAGAGAATCTCAGGATTGGGGAGCCCATTTTCTCTCTTTTTCCTTATAGAGGTAAATCCTTGTTCTGGTTCACTTATTTCACTCACTTCCCCTAGATTCTCCATCACTTTTCCAGAATGTAAGAGGCAACCTGGGGCTCTTGCCTGGGCCTTCCTGGGAGGACAGGCCTCTCTGGTCCAGCTAGAGGAGGGCTGTTCCCCTAAAGGTAGAGTCCAGGTTCCCCAGAGTCCAGGTGCCCCCAAGTGGGTACCCCACTGAGCCAGTATGCCCTGTTGGCTCTCGGTCCCTCACCCTTAACAGTGATTCTTCATGACCCAGGGATAACAATGGTTTCCCCTTCTCAATGATCATCTCAGAATTTTTTTTCTTCAGTTTTTTTTTGGATAATTTTGATTTACCATTATTTGATTTTACAAAGTAGTCCTTTTCTGTTTATTCATTTTCCAGCCTTATTTTCTTTCAGGTCTTGCCCCTCTCCACCTTCTCCTGCTGTGTCGCTGTGTGACGTTATTCGCCCTTCCTCCGCCTGCTTCGCTCCCATCTCAGCTCCGTCTCCAGCCATAGATGGCCTGACGATGCCGCCGGCCCTTTCACACGAAATCAACTTGCTTTTTTTTTTTCTTTTGTTTTAATTTGGATTTTGATTTTGATTCTTTTTACTGTTGGCAGAAACAATGTTAATTCATGGGCCTTTTTTCTTGCTAAATTTGGATGCCCTGGGTTGGGGGGGGCTGCATCATGATCTGCTGAGGAATGCAGTGGGGATGGTCCCCTCAAGGTGGTGGTTGCCTTCTGATCATGTCTGTGGCTCAGGAGAGGATGCTGGGTGATGAGCTGTGTGATTGCTGAGTGAGTTTCCACAACAGACCACACAGGGGCCTCCCATGTGGGGGGTAGAGGGCAAGAACAGACCTGATGAAAAGGGTGGCCCTTGCCCATGAGCAACTGCCAGCACCTGCACGACTCCCCTTTCAGTGTGGGGAAAGGGAGCTGGGGGCTGTCAGTGATCAACTCACCAAGTGTGCAGTGAGCATGCTCTCTACAGCCTCAGGGTGGTGGGGAGGGAGTGCTGGCATGGGGCCAGCATGGGAGTGTTGGCTAAAGGAGACCCTCTGACTCAGACCAAGCCCACCTTAGGGCTGTGGAGGGGCCTCATCTTTCCCCTCAATAGCCTCTTGTCCTCTTTTGCAGGAGGTCCCAAGTAATTGAGAAATTTGAGGCGTTGGACATTGAGAAGGCAGAGCACATGGAGACCAACTCATCAGCTGGGCCCTCGCCATCAAGTGACACACGCCAAGGCCGCAGTGAGAAGAGAGCGTTCCCCAGGAAGCGGGTGAGCATCTAGGTGCCGGGCCAGCACTGACACCTGAATGTGCCTCACGGGCTGGCTGGGCACAGTCAGCACATCCCCAGGCGCCTTCCAAAGCTCTCACATGCACTGGGCTTCCTGCTTTCATTTCTTAGTTTGCTTGTGTTTCTCATCTTCTCCAGTTGAACTTCTTGAGGGCAAGGCCTGTCTTCTGCATCTTCCTTTCAGCCCTTCATCCATGTCTACTAAAGGCTGTCCTAACAAGTTTTAGATTGGAGTCACAAATAGAGCTGTTTTCTTCTCTACAGCAGCCCAGCCACAGGGCTGAACACTTCCCTTCCTCTTTCTTCCGAGTGGCAGCTATAGCCCTCGTTTCTTTACTCAGTCCATAAGGTGGATTCTGCTTCTAAAATCTTCCTCCTGGGGCAGCCACCTTCCTCTCTGTCACTTGCTGTGGCCAGTTTTCCTCTTCCTGGCTTATGAGGCACTCTGCTGTGCCCACTGCTGTGGAGCTCAGGACTCTTTCTTCCTGTGACTCTAGGAAGTTAGGGAATGGGGAGGTAGACCTAGGGAGCAAGACCTAGGGACTGGGAGAGTGAAGGTGACTGCATCGGAAGGAGAAGGCTGCTCTAAACGACCAGGGCATCTCAGAACCTGCTGAGAGAGAAGCAGAAGGCACTGGACCAGGAGCCCGGGACACAGGCTCCTGTCCCCACCCTCACACAGACCTGCCGTGGGAGTCAGACAAAGCCTGAGAACAAGGCCCCTGCAGTTCCGTCCTCCCGGGCTCTGGCTCCCGGCTCTCTGAGCTGATGGGCTTATACTGACTGGCGGCTACTCTCTGCCACAGGACCTCACCAGTGAAGTTCCCACAGCTCTACTCCCGGACACCTCTACTTCCCCCCTGTCTCCACACCGAAGAGCCAAGTCACTGGACAGGAGGTCCACGGAGTCCTCCCTGACGGTGAGCCCAGCCGCCCGCGCACCGAGCTCCGGAGACTGCTGCTTCTCGTCACTTGGGGTCACTGTCTGCTTCTGTCCGTGCTACCTGCACCCTCCGTGCACAGGCGCTCATGTCTGTGCATGGGGTGCACATTCTGTGTTTCGTTTCCTTTTCTGGGCTACATGGGCTTCCTGAGCTCTAAGGTCCCCATGGCGACGCCATCTGGCCAGGGCAGTGGAATCCTAACTCTAGAGGATGAGGGTCACACCAGAGAAACTCTGTTCTTGTTCTGGGTATTTGTTTCTATGGCATTTTGGAGGCAGGTGCTCGCTCTTGCTGTGAGCACTGATCCTGTTCGTGGCATTTCACCACAGAAACAGAGCAGGTCTTTGATCTAGGTCATTTGAGCTCTGGCAGTGGAAGTACAGGTAGGTACAGTTTTGATGGGAGCCTTGGAGAGTCACAGGTGACAGGCAGCCACAGGTGACAGGCCCTTGGCGTGAAGGACAAGTACTCACAGGGCGACTAGGGTGCCTCTCTGCTTTATCCCCAGCCTCCTAAGGAGCCAGGACTGGTGCCATGTGTTCCCCCAAAGTGTGGGGCCACCAATCACAGGTTTACATGAAACCATGGAACAAGAACAGAAGTATTTCTTACCTGGAGGCAGTTTGGTTTTTCCGTGAGCCTGGGTTTTCCCAAAGGTTTGAAGCGTAGGCTCCCAGAACACACCTACCATTGTCCTACCACTTGGTGCTTGTTCCTACCACCCAGTCCTTGGGATCCAAAAAGACATTATAGCCCATCACTGCTCAAAATGGCTGTGAAAAGAGAGAACAGTATGGTTTGAGGGACACGGTGGTCCATGTCTCTTGAGGCCCCTGGTGACAGACACCCAGATGAGAAATACACAGCTGCAGGAGGACCAGCAGGGGTAGGGCCCCATTTGGGCCCCTCTGGCAAACCTGTGACCCTGCTTTCCTTTGTCTGCTGGCCTGGTTTTGCTTCTTGAAGGAAAATGAAGATTAACATTCATCCTGACAAGTGATCTGAGGTCTTGGCAGTGCTGCTGTTGTGACTCACTCAGTACCAGTTGTGGTCTCTGCTTTCAGTCTTCTTGTGGCTTCAGCAAGAACTTCTGAACCTTGCTTTTAGTCATCATTGCTGACCTTCCCATGAAATGTTCAGTGACTCTGGGAGACTCCTTTCTGCCTGGCAGGTGGCCCCTGCACCTACAGGAACTTCTCTCAGAGCAGCAAGGCCGCCCAGCCGCTGCTCGGAGGGTGATGAGGCTGAGCTCTTCCCTCCCTGTGAGCATCCCACGCCCAGCATCTCCTTCCTCAAAGATGGACATGCCTGTGGAGGTGCTGTGAGCTTCACACCAGGGCAGATGCAGACCACCTGGCAGGTGGAGAAACCCTTCTAGACAGAAACCTTTCTAGACAGAAACCCTTCTAGCTGCTGCCACAGTGCTTTCCTCTGAACTGTTCTTTTTCTCCCTTTCTCAGCCCGACCTGCTGAATTTCAAGAAAGGCTGGCTGACCAAGCAGTATGAAGATGGCCAGGTGAGTTTGTTGAGTTGTGGTGGCTCCTAGGTGGGGCCAGACCAGGTGTGACAACCACTGGCCTTGTCTCCAGCAGGTCTGTGAGCACTGACCCTGTCCCCCACCTCTAGTATCTCCCTTGTCTTGTGGACTAGGACTGTAGATAAGACCCTCCTCTCCTTAGAGAAGTAGAGGTACTTGATCCCAGCCCTGTTTCTGCAGTAGGGATGAGAGACCCCATTTACGCCTGTCTGCCTCAGTATTAGAGAATAATCACCCTCTGCTGACCTTATCTTCGTCCAAAAGCCCTAGCTCCTCACTCTCCTAAAAGTTCCCTAAAGACCCAGACATCCTAGGGGCTGGGAAAACTTCAGGTTGTAGGGTTCACTTGCTTTTGCATACGATGCAGCCAAGTAGACAGAAGCTGAAGATTGTAAGACTGTCAGAGACAGATGCTCAGTCATTACCTGAGGGGAGCCAGTATGAAGTCTTTGTGCCATAAGACTTCAGTAGGAAGAGCCATCTGCTGCTGAACCTCCCAAAACTACCTGACCCTGCTTGGGACTGGAAGGCCAGGCTTCCAAGGAGGCATGAAGCGGACCCGCCTAGGTCCTTATTGAGGAGCCCTTGAGCCCTGCCCCTACCCATCTTTTCCTCTTGCTTCCTGAGCAACTCTGCCGAAATATCCTTTTTGTCTCTTCTCTATATCAATCCCCTTGGCCTTACCTGAAGACGCCAGTCTCCCTCCTTCCTACTCACAGTGAAGACTTGGGAATCTGGCTGGTTGGTTTACGCCTGCTGGCTGCAGGTGGGCGCATCCCTGGTTAGCCAGCCTGTGGCTGTGACTCACAGTCTGCCTCCGTAGAATGGAGATGTCATTTTCACGACCACTTTTCAGCTCTGAAGGCCCAGCCCCATCTGCAGCCTCTGGAGTTGAGATTAAAAACGCAAACACTATTCACCAGCCGCACCACTGTGGGTTATGAGAGCCCACAGCCTGTGCCCTGCCTTGTCACTGGAGAGCCGCAGCTTAGCAAGCGTCCTGAGGTCATGCGCACACTGCAGCCTGAGCAGAGTCCTGTGTGTGTCTGCCACTGTGGGGGGGGGCACCTGCCCTCTGCTTCACCTGTGCTCTGGGAGATGCCTCAGGACTTTGGCTGTGGATCACCTTGGAGCAGTATGTTGTGTGAAAGTTGAATCCTTTTTTCCTTTTGCTTTTAGTGGAAGAAGCACTGGTTTGTCCTTGCTGATCAAAGCCTGAGATACTACAGGGATTCGGTGGCCGAGGAGGTGAGTGTTTTAATTTGGCTCCAATTGTAGAGACCGCTGAAGTGGTTCAGGCAGCTCCCAGGAACCGCGGACTCAGTTCTGCTGCTGCTCTTGGCTGAAGTTCCCTTCAGGCTGTTGACAGTGCCCATGTTGCCACCTTGGTGTCCTGGTGGGAAGTCTAAGCTCAGTCACAAGAGCAGCTTTGGATGATCTCTGGTGCTGCGGCCTGGAATGTGGACCTCCTTTGAGGCCCTGCTTTAGGCATCTGTTGATCTGTGTTCGGTGAGCTTCACAGCTTTGATTTTTCTCTGTTCTTCGAAAAACATTGAAGGGTGTGTTGTTTTAAAACTCAGGATGTGCACTTTTGTATTTTCATACAAAGAGATTTTGTTGCAAATTGAGTCTTTGGAAGAACTGAACTAACTCTTGTCTCTTGATGTGGACAAGATAGAAAATGGCAGATGAACTTGGTTGACCCAGTTGACAGTCTTGATTCCAGTCAAGGACTGACCAGAGGGACTCTTTTAAATTTTCACCTACAAAAAAAATAATTTCTTATGAGCAGTTTCACTTATCTTTTCTCTCACTAAACTTCATCCCCACACTTTTGTAATAGCAGAAGATTGGAAAGAGCCTAGCTGTCTGTCTTTATGGGGCTAATTATATATTTATTTACATACCCCAAAATGCAGTAAGTTCTTTATGGATTGTAGTGGAAAATTAGTGACCCCAGTTAGGTACTGACTAGGGTGGGTGATTGACCTCTGGTGCTGCCTACTGTTGGGGAACACAGACATGCATTTACTGGATCAGCAGTTCTTAGAATTTAGTCTATAGAACCCTGAAGATCCTTTTAAGGGTCTAGTGTACTTTTTAAAACTTGTTACAAAACTAAGGTGCTGTTTGCTTTTTCCCACTGTGTTAACATTTGCACCAGTGCAGAAGCAGTAACAGGAGTGTCGAGCCAGTCAGGGTGCAGCTGGAGCGGCCAGTGCTCATGTATCCTTCACTGCCACACACTCATGATGTGAAGAGAGGGCAGTAATGGAACAGTAAAAGTCACCAGCCTTAGTAAGGCTCAGTCCTTATATACCCATCTTTTTAATATGCCATGATTCAGAATGGAAGTCAGCATGAGTCGTTTCTGCTGCACACCAGGCAGGATGGTTGTCCATGGGGAGCTGGCCCTCTGTGTTGCCACCGGCCACTGGCTGCTCCTCACGGAACACCATAACTACTTGGAAGAAGTACCAGCTAGCAGCAAAATGTTCATTCAGTTTGGGTGTTTGGCAGACATTTTCTTGAAAATCAAACAAGTAAGCTTATTCCTTCAGAATTTGTTACCAGAAACAATTTAAGCTTTTAATCAAGAGACCTCCGCTGGTGGCACAAGGAGTTAAGTTGGAGCCCTATGAAGCTGTTGCCAGCCACTGCAGCACAGGGTTCGATCCCCAGCCAGGGAGCTGACCCATAGGGCGCAGCAGACCTCTTCCTGTCTCACCCACTGCTCCCCCTTAGCCGTGTTTATCATTAGATCTGCCTGTTCTGCTCCCCACTCTGTCTCTGGTGAATCCTCTCACCTCCATACCTCTGGCCTGTACCCAGTTCTTGTATGCATAAATAAATATACTTTCAGTCAAAAGTAGAACTTGAAAAACTTGTATTCACAAGTTGACAGTTTCCCTTTACTAATAATATCCTGACAAAACAGGTGATATTAACAAACGTAGTATTTTGATCCTTTGTAATGAAATGTCTCAACATTTAAAAAAATAAACATAACTCAGTGTCTTCCAAATGGCCAGAACATGATGCTATAAAGTCATGTGAGTAAAAGAAGTGAAAAAGATTCCACCTCAAGGGGTGGAACAAAACTGGATTTTCATGTAATTGAGTACAGAAAATTGATTGATGTGATTTCAGATTCCACTTATAGAAACAGCCACTCATCAGCAGATACTCAAATATACCTGAAAGGACTATTAAACATTAAAAATTTCCAGCTCCCTCCTGTTTAAGGCCACGCTGTCTTCATATACTTTAGCTGTATTGAGGTGGTTGAGTCAAACACAGGAGAAGTTGCAGAAATCTCTTGCTGATTTTTAAAACTTTTATATTTTTTAAATGAACTGGATTCATTTATATTCTTAAATGAGTAAATAATCATTTTTTCCATAATTTCTAATATAGGTGTCATGATTAGATAAAATCCATATAAAAACTCGTTTTTTTTTTAAGGACAGGTTTATTTTTTTAAAAAGATGACACTAGACACAAGCTGGCTAAGGTTACATTTTTAAAGGGCATGTTTTTTAGGAAAAGGAAAAAGAGGCATCTGCCAATCACAGGTGGGTAGGACGGCTGCTCCAGGGACCTCAGTTTTTAAGAGTGAAGGAGTTCCTATGTCAGCATGTTTAAAGAGTCACAGGCTGTGATGTCTTTGTCAGGGTACAGGGAGGTGGCCATGTTGATGGTTCCAGCTAGCATAGGTGAGCTGTGTACTCGTTAGTGCCCGTTAAAGATAAAGCCAGTGTAGAAGCATGCCCTGGGATGCAGGCCTTGACTGGCACTTGCTGCATCTCCAATGTCCTTTCATCTCTCTGCAGGCAGCTGACTTGGACGGGGAAATCGACTTGTCTACATGTTATGATGTCACAGAGTATCCAGTCCAGAGAAACTATGGCTTTCAGATACATGTGAGCTGGGGGTAGAACTTGGAGATAGGTTTGGTATGAGGTGGGCATGTGGACTAGACATCTCTCTGAGATCCTGAGGTCCTTTAGGGGGACAGTGGTGGGCAGGTCTGACATCACATGATTAACCTCATGTCCCTCCTCTGTCTGGTGACACCTGACCCCCATCCCCACTTAGCGATCTTGACAAAAAGAATTGATCATTTTTGTTAATGGTGGATTCTTTTATTTTCCTTTTATTTTAATGCTAGTATTAGGGCAGTTGTAAGCATATGGGTACTAAGAATGAATGTTAATTATTTAAATTTCAGATACTAGGTTTTTATTTTTTTCATTTGTTCATTCACTTATCCACTCAGAAGTCTTTTTTTCCCCCCCTCCAAAATCTCGTCAGGATCTTGACAAGGATTTTAAGAAGGCACTGCACGTTCTCTCAGAAATGCAATGTTTGAACAAATTGAACAGTTCTCATTGGCCATTTTATCAAAGGTGGTAACTTGGAGCCCGCTGAGGTCAGCCGGCTGTAGGTTAGGGCAGTCCACCCGACTGCCCTCTGCCCTTGCTCTGACAACAACTAAGTCAGATAATGGCAGGGGCATCTGAGATTCAGACCCGCCAAATATGAGGAGAGCTCTGACTGCCAGCCCCCAAGCTTCTGGGGATGGCATTCCTTCCATATGTGGCACCAAGTCAGGGAGGGAAGTTGCACATTGGCCTGGCACCAGGGGCAGTCTGTGAGTTGGCTGATCTTAGGTCCATGCCACCCTGCTGCATTAGTGAGATGTACCCCATCGGAGTGTGCAGGGCAGCTAGAAAGAAGACCAAGCAGACCAGTGCAGGGGAGAATATAGGGAAGGACTGGCCAAGGCTCTGTGGAGGGAAAAGCACATGACCTGGCTCTGCCAGGTGAGGGAGGAAGTAGGTGCCAAAATCCATGCCCCGGAGTCAGGCAGCATTGGTCACTTCAGCGGAGTGCAGCACATGGAATTCTGGCTGATGCTGTGTTTGAGGTCAGAGACTCTCTATAAACATTAGACTGGTAGCCATAAGTGTGGACCTCGAGTTAGGAAGTGCTAGATGATGTCACGGGAGAAAATGTGCAGGACACGTTGGTCAGGAGTAGAAAAAGGCCAGAGACTCATAAAGAGGTCAAAAGACCTCAAGGCTTAGGGAACACTGGGATTTCAGCATTTCAGAGAGCCTAAGTCTGGGCCTTGTTTTGGTTTACACTGAGAGGAAATTGAGGGAGAAGAGATAGGGACTTGAAGTGGAGGTAAGGTCAAATCCAGGCTGTGTTTGTAGTTTTCCAGGTCAGTTTATGGTCTCCTTAACTCTAACCATGCCAGTTCACATCCCCAAACCATCTTGGTGATTTCATCTTCCATCAGCTGCTTTGCTGATGTAGCTCCTGGGTCCAAGTAGCCCAGGCTACTTCAAGAACATTACTGATGTCCTCACTTCAGTGAGACAGGAAGTGGACTTCATGCAGGTAGCTACCTGTGGTTCCCTTCTCATGTGGTACTGACCAGGGCTGCTTAGGGATACAGGAACTACATCCAGAAACCACTCTTCACTCCCTGCCCTTGCTGGCTGTGCCATCTGGTCAGCCTCCCTCTTCTCTGCTGCCCTCTTAACTCTGTAATCACCTGTGTGTTCGCCCAAGCCGCCAGTGTGTCTCCCTGCCTTTCTCAGCATCGTAGAGAAGACCTTTGACCCCAGCCTATCTGTCAAGCCTGGATCCTGCCCACTTAACCTCTCCCTGGTCATCCAATCCACCTGCCAGCTCTCACCTGCTATGCTGAGGTCTTTCTGCTGCTCCCCACATTCTCACCTTTGTTGTCGAGTTGTACTCTTTCCCCTTGTCTATGAGCTCCCTGAAATGCTGGACAGGTCTTTGACTCAGCACAATTCCCAGAAATTACAGGTAGTGTGTGCAGGGTCCTCTGGAGGGGAAAAGAGGTCATTTAACTGTTACCATAGAAACAGCATAGCAGCCACAAGGTGGCCATTTCTTTTGCTATCCTGTTGTTTATCCCAAGTGGGGCTCCCATACTGCTCCTCAGATACCTGGCCACAGTTCTGCAGGACTTGCACTGGGGGTTGAGAGGTGACCATCCATGATACCGTCTTATCTTTTGAATAGACAAAGGAAGGTGAGTTCACTCTTTCTGCTATGACATCTGGAATTCGGCGGAACTGGATCCAGACCATCATGAAGCATGTTCACCCGACTTCTGCTCCAGATGTGACGAGGTGAGGCAGTTGGTCTGGGTGTTGGAGGGAAGCCACTACCTCTTTCCTTTGTGGGTGGTTCTCTGGTTTTTCTGGCGCCTGAGCTCTGGCCATTCCACCATGTCTTCTTCCCCACTCATTTGTCTTGCAGTTGGCAGCTTGCTCTTTGGCTCCCTGATTTTTCTTCCTTGAGTACCTTTTCCTCCAAGCCTGGCCGGCTCAGCCAGACAAACAACATCAGTATTATAGTCAGAACTGCCCCACGTGGCCGAATCTCTCTCTAGGGTGGGTGCAGGCTCCAAGCCCTGGGCCCACCTTGACCCTGGTGCTGGACCTCTGGTGACTGGGTTGAGGACAGCCCTTGGCACTGTGATGGAGATGTGGCATCTCCTTTTCTTGGTCTTCTTTCACCTTGCTCCTCCATCTTTGCAGACAGGAAAACCACTTGGAGACCTAGACCGCACTGGAAAGCAACTCTTGGTTATTCATAAGCCACATGACCTGCTGCAGGCCTTCCTCCTCCTGCCCTGATGTATAGAAACCTGCTGGTTTTCATGTCAAAAGATGGGAGTGTACAGGATTGGCATCTGAGGCTAAGCACTCTGCTGCCTTTGGATCAGGACGGCAGAGCCTTCCTCCACTCCGAGACTCTCGTCTATACTCTCCAGAATATGTAGCTGGGGCAGGTGTACTTGTTGAGTTGGAGATTGTGTGCAGGTGGTATCCCTGGTGCCACCTTAGTGGCCTGTGGCAATGCCCATTCTTTGTCAGTGCCTGCCTCCTTCCTAGTGGTCCTGTACCTCTGAACAACATGGAAAGGAAAAAACCTGAACTAGCTCTTCTCTTTCCGTTTTCTTTCCTGTATTTATTGTTCATTCCTTCATTTATTAAACAAGGAGAGGATTTGGTCCTTACTTAGTCAGTGAGACCCAGAGGTGGTAGCCAGGACAAGCACTGTGATGATGTCTTTCCAGGAGAACTGGCTTGTCCTCTAGTGGAACCCTTGTGTGTGTGGAGATGAAGGGGCATCCCACCCTCATGCGGTTGTATCTGGGGTGGTCCCAGTGGCTACCCCAGTGCCCTCCCTGTCAGGAGCAGAGCCCAAAGCTCTACCAGCCCATGGTCTTTCTGCATACTTTGAGAATGCCCCCTAACAAAGCAGAAGCGGAACCTTGGACTTCTCTACCAGAGCTATATGGAGCTTACATCCTGAGCAAGACACTTTGCTCTATCATCTTGGTGTTGAGGTCATGTTAACACACCTGCAGCATTTCTGTAGTTAGGGGATCCTACTGGTATCATCCGTGCTTTCTCTCCTGTCTGCTCAGAACCCAGGATGAGTTGGCTCCAAGGAGGTGACTGGGAAACGCAGCTTCCTTCCATCCCCTGCACTGTAGAGCTAGCCCTCTGAGGGTTGGGAAGCTGTCACGAGGAGCCACACCTGATGGGTTGTGTTTGCTCCTCTCCAGCTCATTGCCAGAAGAGAAGAACCGGAGCAGCTCCTCCTTCGATGCTTGCTCAAGGCCAAGTGAGAAGCAAGAGGCTGAACATGGGGAGCCAGACCCCGAACAGAAGAGAAGCCGGGCTCGGGAGCGGCGGCGGGAAGGCCGCTCCAAGACCTTTGACTGGGCTGAGTTCCGCCCCATCCAGCAAGCTCTGGCTCAGGAGCGGGCCAGCACCACTGGGTCCCCTGATGCCCATCCTGAGGCAGAGCCAGGTGAGCTGGAACGGGAGCGTGCACGGCGGCGGGAAGAAAGGCGCAAGCGCTTTGGAATGTTGGACACCATGGATGCGCCGGGCCCTGAAGACATGGCCCTGCGTATGGAGGTAGACCGGAGCCCTGGGCTGCCCATGACCCCTGAACTCAAGACACAGAATGTCCATGTGGAGATTGAGCAGCGATGGCATCAGGTGGAGACCACCCCTCTCCGAGAAGAAAAGCAGGTGCCCATCGCTCCCCTACACCTGCCCTCCTCTGAGGATGGAAGTGACCGACTCTCCACTCATGAGATGACCTCTCTGTTGGAGAAGGAGGTAATTTCTCAGAATGGCCACAACCAGATTGGGGGTGGGCAGGTGGGTTCCATATAGCAAAACTGAGCGTTTTGGCCAGTGGTAAGCTGAGTGGTTCAGCCCATGACACTGAGGAGAAGGGAGCCCCTCAGGGGACTTGCAGGCTACCAGAGACACCAGCAAATAGGTAGGTCCAAGAGCACAGCACAAATGCCAAGAGAGATGGGAGCATGTCGGCTCATGCAGAGTGGCGGCGGCGGAGGGAGTGGGGGGGGTGTGGAGGGGGGGTGGGAGGGCCGAGCCTCTCCCAAAGGACAGAAGTATTTTCCACGTGATGAGGACACTGCCATCTAGAGCCAGCTGTGGCAAGAGATGAGGCTAGTAGGGTTACAGAACCCAGATGGGGCTCGTCCACCTAGTTTCAGCTGTGAGCTAGAAATTATAGGTAGGAGAGGGATGTGGTAGGCAACCCAGGGTCAAACAGGCTGATGCTAGAGGCAGAGATGAGCCCCCGTTTTTCATAGCAATCTGGAGAAAAACGAGGCGATCCAAAGCAGATACGGAGCAGAGAACAGAAGACAGAGTTCTGGATGTTCCAGATATAAAACAGGCCCAGAGTGAGCATGGCAGGCCAGGCACCAGGTGAGGGTGCCTGTTACTCATCATTCACCAGGCCCTTGCGCTCCCTGGAGTAGGACTTCTGGGCAGATGGAGAGAGGTGAGTAAGCCAGGCCCTGCTCAGTGTAAAACTGTAGATGGGGGCAGAGGATTTGTAAGTCTGAATAGAGTTCCATGACCAGAGAGCTACAGTGTTACACAGCTTTTTGTAAAATTCTCCATTGGATGTGCCCTTTATAAACATTCTTTAGGGGGTGCAGGAGGGGTTTAAAAAAAAAACAACCCAGTCTTTCATTGGTACCTAATTACCATTGAAGATTTGCTACTCTGACCTACCTTGACTTCCCATCCTTTTCCTCTTCTACTAAATTCTTGAGATATTTATCACTATCATGAACATGTCAATTTTTTTTCCATTTTCACACCTGTAAATACATAAGAACACTGAGATGCAGTAATGAATAGTTCAAGCTCATTCTGCTCTAAGCTGCCAAAATGGGCCTGGCAGCCAGCAAACTGCACAGTGGACTGCAGATTTGTGTAAAAATCTAGGGTCTGTGCACCCCTCACAGCCCAGCCCAGGGTGTCTGGCCCTTCTGCTACTCACCCTGGGCCAGGGCAGGAACCCACCTGGCCCAGCAACCAGTAGGCACTTGGGAAAGAGGTGGAGGGACTAAACTCAGATGTTGAAAGCAAGTGTATTTTTAGCAGCCTGTTTTCCACATTTTGTGGAAATACCTGTAGAACACTATATTGCAAACAGAATTTTTTATGTGACATTTATACAAAACTGGTTAAATGGAGTTGTTGGGGTAGAAGCCAGGCAAGTCTTAGAGTCGGGGTTGTGCTGAGGACACTGGAAGGCCCCAGCGGGGTGGTCTTCCTTCTGGCGCAGGCAGAGAACTCTTGTTTCCTGGTGGGGTTTGCCCTGGCACCTCAGTAGGCATGGAATTCATGTAAGTGCCCACTGAACAGGTGAACAGCCTGGAGCTTTTGTTTCTAGGTGCTGCAGATAAATACCAGACCAGCATGCCCATTGGCGTGTGGTCACGGGGAAGCCAGCATCGGTGTCCACAGGTGCTCAGAAATATGTCAATGGGCCTTATTGAGCTGTTGCTGCTGCTTCTGCATACTACCAGCATTCTGCTTAAAAGTGGATGTCTTTTTGCCAACAGTTGGAACAGAGCCAAAAGGAAGCCTCAGACCTTCTGGAACAGAACCGGCTCCTTCAGGACCAGCTGAGGGTGGCTCTGGGCCGGGAGCAGAGTGCCCGGGAGGGCTACGTGCTGCAGGTAGGGCTGAGAGGCTGCCACTGCCCTTCAGGCACTCTCAGGGACTACAGCGTGAGGGGCCTAGGCAGGTTAGAAATGTTTAAAACCTGGGTGAGCGAGGCAGCCTCGCTACTGCACCTCTGGGCTCCTCTGCCATAGATCGGGCTCTCGCTGCAGTGGATTCTGGCTATACTTCCTCCTAGCAGTACATTTTGGGAAATCTGCCTGAAACCTCTCTAAGGGCTTATTGTTTGTATTTAAAAAAGTAATTTAAAAAAGTAATTTTGGTGATCTTTCCTTTTGACTCTCAAAGTACCCAGTGCACATTTATAGGTAATAAGATACACATATGTTTGCATGTAATTTCTGATTGTTTTCACAGTAGAATATTGAGCATATTTTACAGATTGAAGAATTCAGCAATATAGCCAGCCAAGTGTCTTCTACAACCAGGTCAATAGCAGACCTGATTTCCCGTCCCTGTTTGTGCTGGTACCATACCTCAGGCAGACCTGGGAGTGTTATCACTAGCCTAGTCTCCCCACAAGTTTCAGGAGGAAAGCATGGCAACCCAACCCTGCACTAACTCAAACCAAGTCAGAGGTCTTTGTGTTAGAATCCTGGCCAGAGCAACGGGCATGGCCATGGTGTCTCAGCAAGCGAAGGTTGCCTGGGTGGGGTGGGCCTACATAGGCTAACTGACTTGCAGCACTGGAGACCCTGATCTTGTTCTGGGGTACAAAACCATAGTCTCCTGCCCACTTAGAGCTGACATACTGGGAGGGAGAAGCCATTGATGAATGAGTGCTGGGGAAAAGAATTGCTTTCAGGAGAATTTCTCCTCCCAGCCGTGGCTGCAGTGAGGAACACCGCATTAGAGTCAGGATCCCTGGTTCAAATCGAGCCTGCCACTGACCAGCAAAGCCAGTGTCCTTTCCCCTGAGCTCCAGCCTCCTTGCCTGTGTGCACTTAAGCCTATGCCTCCAAGGGACCTTTGAGCTCTCCTCTGACTCTGATGAGTTGCTCTGTAGACATTTCCAGACTGCTATGCGCTAATCCTAATCCAAGTCTTCCCAGGTGGCACATCAACCCACGGGTTCAACCACCTTCTGGGCACACTCCACCTTTCTGCTTCCCTCCATGCTGCTTTTTCTACTGCATGTTTCCTCTGTCTTCTCTTTTTTCCTCCCATTTCTCTTTCCCTCCTGCTTTTTGACTTTACATGCCCTGGACCCTCCTCCCAGCCCTGTCAGCCGTATTTACTGCTGTTCCCAGTTCAGGCTCTTGGGCATCGGGAAGGGAATGGTACCTCCTCCCTATCTCACTTTGAGGGTGCCCCAAGTCTTTCATGCAAACCCTCCAGGTTTGGGAGCATCTTTTTAAACCTTTGTTGGGGCCCCCATCCTGCACGAATTCATGTCATAGCAAATGGTTAAATGTTCTAATAGCAGATTCTGCACATTGCTGACCTAAGAACTTGTTCCGTGTCAATGTGAAAGACAGCGTGAGTCTGCGCCAGAGCCCTCTCAGTCTGCACTGGGCACAGCCCGTCTCCTGCCTTCCCTCTAGGTCTAGTCACTGCTTACTGTTAGTTTCCCTTTGCAATTTGGAAATGCTCCAAGCTAAGGTTTGAAAGAGCAAGGGGCCTTTGAGGTTAAGGGTCAGGAGGAGTTGTCATTCAGGGTGGGTGCTACTGACTGCTGGGAGGAGGAATTTGCATGGTCTGGACGCGGAGTGTAATTTTAACTTAATGTAACTGAGTGTCACATCTGTGGCTTCCCTGCCAGTAGACTGAGAGGGGCCACAGGCAGGCCAAATTCTTAGGCTGGACTGTTCTTTTCACTCTTGTTCATGTACTTGTTTTTCTACTACATTAACTAGTTCTGTCTTTTCCGCATGCCTTTCAGTTTGGGGAGTTGTTTCTTTTTCTTTTTTTCTTTTGGCATGCTTCACTTTATTTGAACTCCACAAAGTTTTGTTTTGTTGTTGCCATATTTTACCCCATGGTTTCCGTTTCCCCCTCGTTTTGTCTTCTTACAGGTAGCGATTAGTTCTCCTGTTACTGTAGAGGACGGGCTCCACTTTGCAAAGGAAAATGTTTCCGATGTCACCTCACTGACATCCCCAGCAGTTGCCTACCTTCCTTCTCTCCCTGTCTTAGAAGGAAGTGACATCATCACCTGCACCCTGAGTCCTGCGCTTTTTTAGGGTTTGTTGTCTAGAACCACGTACCTTTTGTTTTGCAAACCAAACAAACAGACGTCAGTGCTCTGCTCTTCCCCTGTCCTCCCCGGCGTCCTCTTGTCCTTCAATCTTCGTTGTGCTTATCAGTGTTCCATTATTCAGTTTTGTTTGGTTTATTTCTCCTAGAAGCTATTCAGTTAGAATTGTGTTGATGTTGTTGTCCATGTCTTCTGTTTACCTGGAAGCAGCTACCTGCCAAAAAAACATTAAGATGATTCGTTGGATATTTTTAATGAAAAAAAAAATGTGCAAAAGGATAAAAGGCAAACCCACCAAGGAGCTTTGCAGTGGTTGACCTGGCCAGAGGTGTGACACTCAGAACTGGGAGGCCCGAGTGTTACTAACCAGTGTTTAATCGGTTTTTTTAAGACTGAGGTGGCCACCTCCCCATCCGGTGCCTGGCAGAGGCTCCATAGAGTCAACCAAGATCTCCAAAGTGAGCTGGAGGCCCAGTGCCAGCGCCAGGAGCTGATCACGCAGCAGATCCAGTCCCTGAAGCGTAGCTATGGGGAGGCCAAGGACGCCATCCGGCACCATGAGGCTGAGATCCAGAGCCTCCAGGCAAGACTCAGCAATGCTGCTGCCGAGCTTGCCATCAAGGAGCAGGCACTGGCTAAGCTCAAGGGCGACCTGAAGCTGGAGAAAGAAAAGGTCCGGGAGCAGCTAGAGGAGTGGCAGCACAGTGAGGCCACACTAAGCAGTCAGTTGCAGGCCAGCGAGCAGAAGCTCAAGAGTGCTGAGGCCCTGCTGCTGGGAAAGACGCAGGAGCTGCGCGACCTGGAGATGCAGCAGGCACTGCAGAGGGACCGGCAGAAAGAGGTGCAGAGGCTGCAAGAACGCATTGCCGACCTCAGCCAGCAGCTCAGCACCAGTGAGCAGGCCCAGAGGCTGATGGAGGAGAAGCTGCAGCAGAACTATGAGCTGCTGCTGGAGAGCTGCGAGAAGGAAAAGCAGGCGTTGCTGCAGAACCTGAAGGAGGTGGAGGACAAGGCCAGTGCCTACGAGGACCAGCTTCAGGACCATGAGCAGCAGATGGAGGTGCTCCAGAAGGAGAAGCTGAGTGCCAAGTTCGAGGGCAGTGAGGTGGTGCACCAGTTGGAGGAGCAACTGGAGATGAAGGAGGCCAGCATCCAGAAGCTGGCTGAGCATGTGCAGAGCCTCAGAGATGAGCGGGATCAGATTAGGCAGCGGTTCCAGGAGCTGGTGGAGCGTGTGGCTGTGTCTGATGGAGACGTTGCTGCACTTCAGGAGAAACTGAGAGGAAGAGAAGCAGACTACCAGAACCTGGAGCACTCCTACAGGAGAGTGGCCAGCCAGCTCCAGAGCATACATGCCCTGCTGAAAGAGAAGGAAGAGGAGCTGAAACACATCAAGGAAATGCATGAGAAAGTTCTAGAAAAGAAAGACCAGAACCTCAATGAGGCTTTGGTTAAAATGGTTGCTTTGGGGAATAGCTTAGAGGAAACAGAAATGAAGCTCCAGGCAAAGGAAGAGATTTTAAAAAAGTTCACAAAGGAGTCTTTGGAGGACACGGAAGAGCCACGGAGTGCCTTGGAAGAAGCAGAGGGAGACAGTGTTGTGCTCTCAGACCCACAGCTCCACGCCACTGGCTTCCCACACTCGCGGCTTGAGGATGAGAATCCTAGGGCTGTGATGGGGGAAGAATGTGGTGAAGACAGTCCCAGGAGAGAAGAGAGCGCGGTGCCCCTGAAGTCTGAAGTGCCAGTACCAGAGGGGCAGCTGCAGAGCACAGCAAAACCTGAGCAAGGAACACCGGGTGTGAAAAGACAAAGAATCCGGTTCTCCACAATCCAGTGCCAAAAATACACCCACCCTGACGGGTCTGAGAAGACCTGGACCAGCAGCACCTCTTCCGACACCAGTCAGGACCGGTCACCCTCTGAGGAAAGCATGTCCTCAGAGGCCACCCCCAGCTCGCTCCCTGCAACCAGCGACTCTGACACCTACCTTTCCATAATACACTCCCTGGAGACCAAGCTCTACATCACAGAAGAGAAGCTCAAAGATGTGACAGTGAAGCTGGAGAGTCAGCAAGGCCAGAGCCAGGAGGCCCTGCTGGCATTGCACCAGCAGTGGGCTGGCACCGAGGCACGACTCCGTGAGCAGCTCCGCGCCAGCCTGCTCCAGGTTGGAGCACTGGCCTCCCAGCTGGAGCAGGAAAGACAGGCCAGAGCAGAAATAGTTGAGAATCATGTTGGAGAGCTCGGCAGCTTTCAGGTGAAAAACAGTCAGGCCCTGGCTTGCTTAGAAAACTGCCGAGAACAGCTACGGTCTCTGCCGGGAGCCAGCCAGGAGGCAGTGCAGGATGCAGGCACAAGCCCCCTGACCAGCATGGAGAGCATGCTAATCAGTGCCATCCAGGCCCTGCGTCACCGGCCAGGTCCTGCAGAGAGTGGGTCCCAAGACCAGCTAGATGGAGGGAGTTTCTTGGAAAAAGAGCAATCACCTTCACAGCAGCCTGAACTCATGGAGCAGGAGCAGCTGAAGCTCCTTTCTGATCAAATAGCCCTGGAAGCCTCACTGATAAGCCAAATAGCAGATTCTTTAAAAAATACTACATCTGACATCTCACAAGTTCTCCATGATATTTCTCAGGCAGGAAAGTTGCCCCTGGAGTCTGAAGATACAATAGTTTGTCCTGGTACTCCAGCAGATGCCTGGGCTAGAAAGGTGCTGGTGGATGGTGAATTCTGGAGCCAGGTTGAATCCCTAAGTAAGCACCTGGGGACACTGGGAGGAGATGCAACCGGAACATCAAGAGGTGGGCAGCAGAGGCTCCCGCCAGCCCTGGCCCCTGCCCTAGCCGATACTACATGGGTCAGGGCAGAGCTCAGCTTTGCTGTGCAGTCGGTGAGGGAGTCTTTCCACCGGAGGTTGCAGAGTGTCCAGGAGACCCTCAAGGGGACCCAGGTGGCTCTGCAGCAGCACAAGCACATGCTTGGGGAAATCCTGGGAGCCTACCAAACCCCCGACTTTGAGAGAGTGATGCAACAGGTCTCAGAAGCTCTCAAATGTCCAGCTAGCATTGAAGATGGTGGGCAGGGACCCTGGGACGCGAGCCCATTAAAAATGCTAAGTCACCAAGACACAGCCAGCTCCCAGCCCTTCCACTTGTCTGCCCCGTGCTCTGGGCCCCTTGTTACTATTCAGGAAGAACTTGCTCTGCAGCTTAAAGATAAGGCCAACCTCTTAGGGGAGATATCTGCTGCTATCATCTCACTCCCACCTATGGAATCGGTAAAAGACTGTCAAAAGCTTCTCCAGGCCTCCCAGAAACTGTCCTATAACACTTGTTTGGGAGGCCTCAGTCAGTATTCTTCATTATTAGTTCAAGATGCAATTATTCAGGCTCAAGTGTGTTATGCAGCTTGCAAAATTCGCCTTGAGTATGAGAAGGAGCTCCAGTGCTACAAGGAATCCTGGCAGAGCAGAGGGATCGCCCCCAAGGAGCAAGAGCAGGCTGTGGGGGCCCTAAGAGAAGAGTATGAGGAACTTCTTCGAAAGCAGAAAACTGAGTACCTGGAAGTGATTGCCATCATTGAAAGGGAAAATGCAGAGCTCAAGGCCAAGGTCACCCAGCTGGACCATCAGCAGCGATGTCTGGCAGAAGTGGAGAGCAAGCACAGTGAGAGCATGTTTGCCCTACAAGGGAGGTATGAGGAGGAGATCAGGTGTGTAGTGGCACAGCTGAACAGAGCAGAGAACACACTGCAGGCCGAGCACAGCAGAGTCCTAAGCCAGCTGGATGCCTCGGTCAGAGACAGGCAGGACCTGGAGAGGCACCATGTGGAGCAGATGCAAACCCTAGAGGACAAATTCCAGCTCAAGATCAAAGAACTGCAGACAATACATGAGGAAGAGCTTAGAACCTTGCAGGAGCACTACTCACAGAACCTGCAGTGCCTGCGGGAGGCCCTCCGCCGCTACCAGCAGCAGCCCCTCGAGGCGCTGCAGGCCCCGGGCCCTCCCAGCAGCCCCCACCAGCCCCCCTCCAGCTGGCCAGCTGACCATCCCAGGGCTGTCCTGCAGGCCGCCAGCAGGGAGGCTGACTCTATGATGGGGCTGAGAGAGCGCATCCAGGAGCTGGAGGCCCAGATGGACGTCATGCGGGAGGAGCTGGAACACAAGGACCTTGAGGGCAATGCTGCTTCGCTGCGGGAGAAATACCAGAAAGACTTTGAGAACCTCAAGGTTTTGAAGCAGCATTTAATTTGCAAACAGTTGAGGGGCAGGCATTTTCCTGCTTGCAGGAGGGTGGGGGTGGTGTCTGGGGCATGGGGCTCTTGGGTGGAGCTGAAAGGTTCTCGCTCTCACCCACTGCACAAAACAGGATGGAGTCAACATTCTGTTTCTCCCTTGACTCCCACTGGCTGTGGTATGGTCTCAACAGGGCTTTGCTCAGCGTCCCCACCAGGAAGAGGACTAGCAGGAAAACAAGATCACTGGCAAGAGAGGGAGTGAAGTCCCCACCACCTTTCTGCCTGCTACAGGTGGTCTTTCCTTATCCCCCCCTTGCAGAGGAATCCTCTGTTCTTCCTTTCCTGGCCTCACCCACCTCCAGTCACGGTTTAGACCTGAGCCCAGAGGTTCCCTTGGAGGGCAATACAGAGCTGGTTGGGGTTCCTAAAAGATAAGACTATTTCCAAGACAGTGTCAAGGATCACTCCCATTCGACTCTTTGGGTGGGGGGCGGGGGGGTTAATGGAAGCGCCAAGCCCAGGAATAGCTGCTCGTACTCCTTCTGCAAGAGCTTTGAGAAATACCCTCTCTGTGGCAGCTGCCCCTACAGTGCTGTTCCATTTCCCACTGCCTCATTAGGCAGAAGACCAGGACCTGTCAGGAGGTGCTGTTCCCAGGCTCTTGGCACGCTGAACTGTTAGCGCTGTCTAGGACTTGCCCTTTGTGACCACAGGCACATAGCTGCATGGCTCTGCTCCCCAATTTCTCAGGTCTCTTGAGCTTCTCGCCCTCTCTTAGACTCAAAAGTTTGTTCCAACATTTGTGTCCATGTCTTGTCCCCTCTTAGAGCTGCCCAGGAAATGCCCAGGCTACAGACACCACTTTGCTGATCCTGCCAGACGTGGTGCTGGTGCATGAGTCACCTAGGCGCCAATGGCTCTCTCTGGCAGCCGTCTGTCACTGGCTCAGAGAGGAAAAGCACTGGGAGGCATGGGGTGTTCTTTACTTCCCTGTGATGGCAGTGCCCGCTTCCAGAGCCCATTGAAAAGCACCTGGCTTGTCAGAAAGTTCTTCTCGGGTTTCCGAGAGGCCACTGCCTCTGTTCTTTTCCTGAATCAGTGTAAAACTTTTGAATACTAGATGAACCAGTTGCACCTTTAAATGTAATTTGCACTCCCCTGTAGTGTTCTTCCCAGAGAGTGCACAGTGGGTCCCACAACACCCTGCAGGTCTATATAGCAGCCACTGGGATGAGCTGCTCCCATCTGTGCACTAAGACCATTTCAGACCCTCTGTCAGTCTGCTGGGAACCAGCCAATAAGTCAGAAAGGAGACAACTACTTTGTGTTGACAGAGCTGCCACAAATTGTGCAGAAGCTCATTGTCCGCCTGCAGTGACATAAGTCATGTGGTGGATTTTGGTCATTTTTGGCTCTGGTGTCATTTTTCTGCGGGTTTGGTTGCTGCCTGTGTTTTAGGTTCCCTGTCCTGTGCCTGCAGCTTCCAACCCATCTGCAGCATGGTCATCTACTCCCTCGAGACAGGCAGAGTTCACAGGCAGGCAGCCTCTGGCAGAGGAGGCCGTACTAATAGCTGGTACCTTATGCAGATTTTTGCTTAGGCCAGAAGGAGGAGGTCTTGGCCTGATTGCCAGCAGACTAACACCTTCCCCCACCTTGCCTACCCCCAAAGACTGTGCTCAAAGTGGTTGAGAACTTTTACTGATCCCAGAGACTGTTGGCTTACAAATTAAATCTGTTTACAGATTAGTCTTTTTTTTTTTTTTTTAACAGTTCCACTCTAACATCTGGTCTTTAGAAACACCCCACTGTTTGTGTAGGAAGAATTATGAGCCTTGTCCTGTTTGATCCTTAATTCTAATGTATCCAAATCATACTAAGACTGACAAGACCTGCTAACTTTGTCTTAGCTGAGAAATCCTGTGTGCAGTGCAGCACGAGGAGGCCGCCAAGGTTTGCAGTGGAAGCCCTCTTCGGACCTGTAGCAGGAGCTACAGCCCTGGGCTTCCTTCAGGTGCCCTGAGGGCAGCGAGAGGAGAGCTGCAATTCCAGGGGGAGCTGTTGGGAGAAGGACTGGCCAGTTAATGTGGGACAGCAGTTAAAATCATTTCCCCAGTACAGCAAATCTGTCGTTGTAAAGTCCAGACTGTGACCTTGAGTTTGAAGATCCTGGATAGAGGATCTCAGAAAGGCCTCTGAATTACTGTGTGGTCGCAAGAAAGACACCCCAGCATGGTGATTTGATTTCTTGGTATCCTTTCTTGAAAACTTGTGCAAGAAGATCCATCAAATAGTGTAATAGTATAGGGCTGGGAGGTGGGAGAAGAAAGGTTGCTCCCCCTCCGCTCCCACCACCTGCCACACCCAGTACTTGCATTTGGAATATAACATGGCCACACTCTTCCAGCTTTTTAGACTGTTTCTAAAGTGAAAGGTCTGATCCCTACTCAGAAATAAATCTTGCAGAGGAGTTAACAGAAAGTGTACCTCCATGCATAAAACAGCTGTGCATAGCACCTTCTCAGTTGTATGGATGGTTGGGTCCCTGTTTAGGGCATACCTGTGTCACCTCCCCACCCACCCACCCTCATGTCCAGGTCCTAAACCAACCCAGATTATAGCCAGACATACCAGAGTTTGGAAAGCAGTTCTTCTGTTATATGTCTCATCACAGTCAGTCAAGTTACTAATTAGTATCCCCTCCTTTTGTGCTCAAAAGGAAAAGGAAGACACAGGCTGGGAGGAAAGAGATCCTGTAGTCTAATCTAATTCCTCAGTGGGCGTCTGAGCAGTTATGTGACCAAGTGAAGGTAGCCAGCTAGTTAGTGGCAGTGCTGGGATCCGGTTCCCTGGACCCTCTACTCAGCCCCCCATACCCATCATTCACAGGATGGCCTTGACTCCCTCCAGCTGTCTATGGGATGCCCAGTTTGTGACTGGCACCATGAACTTTTCACTCAGAATTGGCTGACTTCTGTACCTTCACCCTCATCTCCCTCCTTTTCAGTTCTACTTGGCTGTAGTTCTGTAAAGGTCCAGAATGGACTGTTTATATTCCATGGTACCTTCTTAACACTCAGAATACCAATTCCAAAGAGAAATAGGATTCAGAACAATCACAAAGATAATATCGACAGCATTGATAGGTGTAAATTCCCCTTTCTAACTGCTTTATGGAATAGAAATGCCCAATAGCATGAGAGAAATTCAGGTAGTCTGTGTAGCATCAGAGAACATTGGATCAGACAGGATTGCTGGTTCATCTATCAATCAAGTCCCCAACTTGATTGATGGCAAAAGAAAAAGTCCATCACATCCCTTTTGCACCTTGCAGGCCACCTGTGAGCGAGGGTTTGCAGCAATGGAAGAAACACACCAGAAGAAGATTGAAGACCTGCAGAGGCAGCACCAGCGGGAACTGGAGAAGCTGCGAGAGGAAAAGGACCGGCTCCTGGCAGAAGAGACTGCGGCCACAATTTCAGGTGGGCATGGGCCTGGTGGCCAGGGCAGAATGGCCTACCAACTTTTTTTGAGCTACATATTCATCTCAAAGCAATGACCAGCCTTTCTACTATCTTTTGGCTGAGAAAACAGTAGGAGCCCTTTGAAAGCCAGCAGGCCCGGCACCACACCCCAACTCTCATGACCTGCGCACCCATCAGGCACCAGACCACCTCTGCCTGAACCCCTTGGACAAAGGCTCTGGAGCTTCTACCTGGCAGAAAAGCATCACAGAGCTGACACACACTGTCTTAACCAACACGATGTCACCGATGTTATGTGACTCACCCCCCTTTAGAATTGCACTTTACAGTGGGCTATTATTTTAGTGCCATGTTAAGAAAGTAGGTCAACCTGAAAGCTTGCTTATTTTGTAAACTCATGCCTGAATTTGGCATTCACATTCAATCATTTGGTTTTCTTCTAACATTTATAAAGAACAAAAGCAGCTGCACTCCCACCGGGTTCTTCCAGCCTGACTGGACAGTAGCAGTGGGCAGGTGTCATACCGCCGTTCAGTCTTAACCCTAAGCCTCATGGTGCTGATGACCATGTTCTTCCCTTCAGCCATTGAAGCCATGAAAAATGCCCACCGGGAGGAGATGGAGCGGGAGCTGGAAAAGAGCCAGCGGTCCCAGATCAGCAGCATCAACTCTGACATCGAGGCTCTAAGGCGGCAGTACCTGTGAGCCCACCTCCTAGCCTTGGGTGCTAGTCCCTCTTGGAGGGCTGCCTCTCAGCTGGGGAGCAGCCTCTCCTGTGTGGTTGTTAAGCAACAGAGATTGGGGTCTGAGGGTGGTGCTGGTGGAGACCCAGGGGCTGAGCACATCCAAGGCAGGTAAGCCATCGGATCTTGTGCCCCAAGAAACTGATCACTAAAAGCTCAAGCGTCAGATACAGCCAAGAAAATGTTAATAAATACTAGCTCCTCTTCAGGACCAACTGATCCGAGGGGCAGGGTGTGGTCTACTCAGCAGTTGCTGCTTAGAAAGTCTGCTCCAGAACTGAAGCCCCAAGCTGTGCCCTTCACACTCCCTTGTATAGGCAAGAATGAAAAAAGACGCCTGCACAGCCATCTCTGAATCTCTTCCCTTTGAACTAGCACCTCTGGGAACCGTGAGCATGTCCAGTGGAGGCCCACGCACAACTAGCCTTCGCATGTAGGAGTCAGGGGCTCTCCCCAGGGCCCCCACTCAGGGCAGGCAGCTGAGACAGGCAGTCCAGCCTGCACACCGCATCACACCCACCTCGGCTGGAAGTGGAACCATTCTTGGTTCCACAGAGAGAGAGAGAAGCAGTCCTTTTCAAATCACCCAGCTGACAGAGAACAATGTCAGGAGGCTTTGATTTTTCCAGGCATAGATAGAACCTGGTCCTGCGTTATCAGCCACAGATTCACAAAGAAAAAAAAATAACTGAAAGAGTTATTCTGAAAACAAATTCCAAATCTAAGAAAGAGTGGGGGGAAGAGTAGACCTTTGAAGTACCGCTGTTCCTCATTGGGCAGCGCCGAGGGACAGTGAAGCGTGCCAGGGTCTGCTCTCTGTCCCTCAGCTTTTGTTGTGTCTCATGGCCCCTGGGAACTGCAGAGGGGAACACAGCCTGCAGGAGGCCTGGCCCCGGGGGCAGGGAGTGAGCAGCGCCCTGTCCGCAGGGAGGAGCTGCAGTCGGTGCAGCGGGAGCTGGAGGTGCTGTCGGAGCAGTACTCGCAGAAGTGCCTGGAGAACGCCCACCTGGCCCAGGCGCTGGAGGCCGAGCGGCAGGCCCTGCGGCAGTGCCAGCGCGAGAACCAGGAGCTCAACGCCCACAACCAGGTGAGCTGCAGGCATCTCCCTGTGTCTGACATCTCTCAGCACGTGGGCAGGAATTCACTGCAGATGGATGGGCTTGGGGCCCGCCTGTTACACACAAAGCAGCTGTCTTGGAGTCTCTTCTGCTCCAGCCCTTTGGAGACTTTAAGGTGTCTCAATCTAGGGTCTCCCTGGTGGCGCACGAGTTCAAGTCTCAGTACTAGCAAGCTGTCACCAGCCACTGAGGCATGCCCTGGCCAGGGAGCTGACCCACATGGCGCAGCAGACCCCTCCTGACCCACCCGCTGCTCCCCGCAGCAGTGTATTTCAGTATATCCACCTGTTCTGCTCCCCGCTATCTTAGTGAATCCTCTCACACGTACAGACCCCTCCACACACGTCTGGCCTATATCCCTGTTCTTGTATGCATAAATAAATCTTTAAGAAAAAAAAAAGCCTCAGTTTTTCCTGAGCATATCTGAATTTCTGCTTTGTCACTGCTTGGCAGGGCCTGAGTGTCTCACCCTCAAGGCTTGGAACAGTCAAAATCAGACATTGCTCCTCAGAAAATGGGTGTGCACTAGTGGCTAGTTAGGATTAGTTTGACATTTAATATAAGTTTTCCAAGGGTACTGGGTCACTATCCATGTGACTGCCTGGTTGTCCTGGCCCTCAGCAGACTCGTGTTGTGATCTGTCCGGGCTCAAGGCCAACCTGTGTGAAGTGCTCTAGACTCTGGCAGGACTGTTCTGCGAAGTCATTCCAGCGCCCTCGTATGACCACTTGTTAGTTGGAAAGAAAATGAATGGGAAGAGAGAGAAAAAGGCCTAATCCTACAAAAACTCAACTGGGGCATACCATGAAACAAATAACACTAGTTTCAAGACAGAAAGGCAGTAAGAGCTCTGGACCCAGGCCTTTTCTGGTAGCACAATGGGTTAAAGTGTAGCACTTTGAAGCTATCCTCAGCCACTGCAGGACGAGTTCCATCCCTGGCCAGGGGGGTGACCCCACATGGCGTGGCAGACCTCTCTGACCCACCCACAGCTCCCCTCAGCAGTGTATTTCACTCGATCTGCTTGTTCTGCTCCCCACTCTGTCTCTTACCTCACCCCCTGTGCCCCCACACCTTTAGCCTGTGCCCTAGTCCTGTATGCATAAATAAATATAACTTTTTTTAAAAACCTGTAGAAAGAGCTCTGGATCCTATATACACAATTCCACAAATACAGAATCCAGACAGACAGCTATTACAAGTGTAAAACTCAACAGTGTATATACCACTGTTGTGTTGAGTACCACTCCTGTGCTCAGTTTTCTTTGCTTGATAAGAAACGACCTTTCCTGGCTTGTTGTGTGACTGAAGCCCCAAGCAGCTCAGCTTAGTTGAGGACCTATGTTTTATTGTGATGCTATTTTCCAGGAGCTGAACAACCGCCTGGCTGCAGAAATTTCACGGTTACGTACACTGCTGACTGGGGATGCCAGTGGGGAGGCTGCCGGCTCGCCACTCACACAGGGCAAGGATGCCTACGAGTTAGAGGTACTGCTTAGCACAGGCCCCTCTGTGCCTCACAAACCTCCCTCCCATAAACACCCCTCCTGCCAGCATACAGTGGCATTTCTAGACAGGATTTGAAGACAGCAGGAGGGGAACATGGGAAGATACAATCCTCACAGGACAGGAAAACAGCTATAAGACAGTGTGGGATCCCAGGCAGCAGGTGGGGCCTCTCGAGGCCACAAAACCTTTAACCTCCCGTGCCCTCCATCTGTATCTGCCATGCCACCAGCACTGGCTGAAAATGAGATGGTTAAGAACTAAACACAGCAACTGCTCGAGATTCTGTAGCGCCATGTTACTCAGGGTAGAAGTTCATTTTAAGTGAGAATGACGTTTAGATGTAAGGGGTCATTTATGAAAGAACCTAGATTTCTCCCTGTTAAGTTAAAATTTCATCATGGAAATGTCGCATACTAGATGGATGTGGGAGTTGTTAACAAAAATGTCAGCAAGACAGCTTCGAAGGCTCAGGGTGGTTTTGGGTGCAAGAAGAAATGCACCCATTTCTTATTCCATATGTAATGAAAATTCCTCAGTGGAGTCCCTCTGCCCTGATGTCAATCCCTCATTTCTCTCTCATTCTAGGTGTTATTGCGGGTCAAGGAATCAGAGATCCAGTACCTGAAGCAGGAGATCAGTTCTCTCAAGGATGAACTACAGACAGCATTGCGGGTAAGGACACATGGTGGCAGAGTGTGATCTAGACAGTGGGCTGGAGTGGGACAGGGGAGGGCCAATATGCCATTCTGGGGTTCATTTTCATGAGGAATGCCTTTTCAAAATCAAGTTCTCACTAAGCCAGCCTGTGAGTGGGTGTAGTAAAAATGAGGAGCCCACTCACTGATCTGGCAGCATCGTGCAGAAAGTGAGTTCAGTCAGATCCCACTGCTCTCCTCTCCCAGGGTGTCCTTGGGGTCAGAGAGAACAGAAGCCCAGGTGACCAGTCAGTCACTCAGAAATCAAAGATAAGGATTTTCCAGGCTGAAACCCACAGGGAAGTTCGTGAGGGGTCAAGGCTGCACCGGCCTGGCTGGTGCTCACGGCACTAGTGCTCACCAAGGCCCCAGGGGTCTCAGATCGCATTCAGACAGACTCTCCACTGTGTCCAGTTTCGGCCTCTGCTGCCGACGTTCCCAGTCCTTCCCCAGCTGCATTCCCGCGCCCAAAAGGCACTCTTCCCAGCCTGACAGCAACTACCATGTCCTACTTTCCCTTTATCCACAAGGACAAGAAGTACGCTAGTGACAAGTACAAAGATATCTACACAGAGCTCAGCATCGTGAAGGCCAAGGCCGACTGTGATATCAGCAGGTTGAAAGAGCAGCTGAAAGCAGCCACAGAAGCACTGGGTGAAAAATCACCTGAAAACACCCCTGTGTCAGGATACGGTGAGTTCTTCGCCTCTGGGTGTGATGCAGTGGCGCATCACGTGACTGGACGTGGGACGCTTCGTTAAAGCAGATGCGTCCCATCTCTATTCGACTTTCATTTCCTTGTAGAGTAGAACTGGCCGAGGGCAGCCCTACTGCTGCACCAGCTCTCCTGGTTCAAAAATTATTTCTTGCAGCGTGCTGGTGCCAGCTGTTGTACAAACTGCTTTTAAAAGGAAATCAAACTACTGGCATATATTTTCATAGTAATAGTAAGTTTATCTTTCAGTTTTTCTAAAGAACACAATGATTCAGTGAAAAAACAGCTGTCGGGGGTTGCTTGATCTTGTATTGTCACTATAAAATCTGCAAAAGGCCATGAGGAAGGGGAGGGGAAGATTGTCCCACTGAAAGGCTGTTCTAGCTTACTGTCATCCAAAAATTCAACATTTTCTGTCAGCTAGCCAAGGATGAATGGCAGATGCATGGAGAAAAATCCATCTGCATTCTGCTAGGAGGATAATTTAGCAGGCTTTCCAGAAGGCTCTTGGGCAATGTGTAGCAAGAAATTTTAAATCAAAGTGTAGGCTAGCTCTGGAAGAGTAATGAAATGACGACAGTGGCTGCTTCTGAGGAGCCTGGAGTGGCTGCAATGTGCAGGAGAGGAAGGTTGGCCTTAGAGAGAGAACATGTATATCCTGCGGCCTACTAATTTAACTTCTGGGGGTGGGGGGGAGTGTAGAAATGTGCACGAAAGTTTATTTAGTACTTGCATAGAACAAAAAACTGGATTCCACCTAAAGGTGTCAAATAAGCAACAAGAAAATACTGCAGTTCTTAAGCGATCAGAGTTCTTTTTTTTTTTGTTGGTTTTTTGTTGTTGTTGTTGTTGTTTTTGATATGGAAAGACATAAAAAATAAAAGTGTAGGGCCCACCCTGGTGGCACAGTGGGTTACAGCACAGCACTGCAAAGCTAGCCGCAGCCACTCAAGCACAAGTTCAGTCCCCGGCCAGGGAGTGACCCACAATCAGCAGACCTCTCCTGTCCCGCCCGCTGCTCCCCTCAGCAGTCTATTTCAGGTAATCTGCCTGTTCTGCTCCCCACTCTGTCTCTGGTGAGTCCTCTCACCCTCTTGCACCTCTGACCTACGCCCCAGCTCTTGTATGCATAAATATTTTTTAAAAAAATCGGCCTGTTTCCAGAGGGTTTTAGAAAAGAGTAATACATCTCTTTGCTCCTTCAGATATAATGAAATCTAAAAGCAACCCTGACTTCCTGAAGAAAGACAGATCCTGCGTCAGCCGGCAACTGAGAAACATCAGGTCCAAGGTGAGTACAGGCCTCGTCCATAGGAGTATGGGAACTGGGGAGAGGAGCCCAAGTCACAGCCCACGCAGGGCCGAGCAGGAGCCCCAGGCTCCCCAAGCCTGCCCCAGCCCACGCGCCTGCCTGCCGAGCCTCTGCGTCTCCTTCGAGCAGCGGTGGGAACCTGACAGCAGCAGTGAGGGTCTGAGACTGGGGGCTGGAGGGAACTCTGCCTTGGGCCTCTGAGGCCAGACTTCGCCCAGGCCCCCAGGGTCAGCCTCACTCTGTTCGCATTGTTCACCACACACCCCCAGTTTAATACTGAGGCCGCCTGCCTGCGCTCACCACAGAGCGTGTGTCCCTATCCTGCACACCGCTCCGAGGGGACAGTGGGTAGAGGTGGGGAAGGGCGAGCATATTGTGTTTAGGATTTATTGTGTGTGTGTATCTTATTTTTTGCTCTTTCCTCTGACAGTCCGTAATTGAGCAGGTCTCATGGGATAACTGAAACGAGCCCGCTTCCAGGTCCCCTGTCATGTAGGTAAACCACCTCTCACCACCCACCTGCCACCCTCAAGGGGGTGGCTGCCTGCATGCACTGCTCACACTTCCATAGCAAGCTCCTTATTTTACCGTCACTTTATTTTAATTCATCTGCTCCGGCAAACACATACACAACCTGAGTGAATTTTCTTTAACGTGTTCTGGGAGTTCACTGGCACTATGACCTCCTATAACAAGGCTGACCCCTTGCAGAGAGGACCCCTGCAGGGCTGGCCACGAGCCGGCATCTCAGCGGGCACACTGCCAGCATGCCTGGTAAACAGTCAGTGCTCTCCAGATGGGGAAGCCCATCCTGCCCTCTAGCAAGAGTTGGACTTGACAAACTCCTGTGGCCACTGACAAGCAAAGTTCTCCTGTCACTGAAGAGCCTAGTACACAGGCCACAGCAGCCCGGCCTGGCTTCCGGGGAGCCGACCCGCCAGGGGTAGCTTGGAAAATGACTCAGTCGAGCAAGATGATTGGAGCTGAATAGTCTGTGTGTTTTTTTTTTTAAAAAGCGAGACCTTCTTGCTGGGTGCTGTGAAAAGCAGTGTTTTAAAGAAAATGAGTAAAGTGAGTAGCTGAAACCCTGCCTGGGAAAACTGCAGCCTGTTTGAAAAGAAGCATGAGCACCTTGGGCCCCACAGCCACCCTGCCCCACCTTGACAGCGGCCAGGCTCCTGCTCACCCAGCGCTGTGTGCAGGATGTGCGATTGCCTGGCCCACGGGGTCCCTGGAGGTTGGCTCAGCAGGAGATACTGGCCCTGGGCCAAACCGCGCCTGCTCCTTGGACTCCTCAGGTGGGATCCACACGCACCGTGCCCCCAAGTTCTCCTGCTAGTAGACCTCAGCTGGTTGCTTGGAAACCCAAGCCTTTGGAGTACTTTAAAGAAAATCCAAATAGTTTAAACCTAGTCAGTCAGGTTTTTATCTTTCTGTAGGTGACGTAAAAGACTTGACTGAAAACTTAGTTTGGGCTTTTTTTCATATGAAAAGTATTCTGTTTATAGCAAAAGGAAAACGTTCTTTTTTGGTTTATGACTTGCAAATCCTACTTCCTATTTCTACTACAGTCTAGCTGCTCTTAGTTCACCCCAGTGCCTGGGGCCTCCCCACCAGGCCTGCGAATGACAGAAAACACACAGCCTCTGCTCGGCCCGTCGGGGGAGCCCTGCTGGCCTGTGCCTACCACAGGGAGAGTTGCAGAGCCTCCTGGGGGTGCAGAAATACGCAGGGCTCTGAACTCAGTGGCAGGACCTTGACCAGCAAGGACAGGAGCACTGGCCGGGAACGAGCTACTGCAGATGTCAGCTATCAGGGACTCTGGGCACCCTAAGATGGTGGTCGGCCTCAGGGCAGCCTACAGCTCTGAGCAGCCAGGACGCCACTTTCCCAGAGTTCTGTATGCGCACTTGGCTTGGCCAAACATCAGCTAAAGAAAGGCCTCTGGGCCAGACAGTGCACCGAGCCGGTGAGCAGCATCCGCAGGACACGGGATGCCGGTATGAGCCCACGCGGGTGACGCATGTCAGTGACCGTCCGGGAGGGTGTGCCCACCTTTCCCTGGCTGTATTTGGAAGCTCCGCAGAGACAGGAGTGAAGGTGTTGAGAAACTGAGCCTGTCACCAGTGCTGTTTGCTGTGGGATATGATACGTACTGATGCACCTCTTCGATTTATCTCATTTCTGTGCCCTGCCTCATGCAAATGGAGAGAAAGTAAAATCAAACCAAGCTCACTGCTTAACAGCAGCACAGTTTTTCTGGGAGTGAAAGCAGAGATGTTTCCTTCAGCCTCCTTGTGGAGGCCCCACATCCAGTCACCTGTGTGTCACTGAGGCGTCATGGAAAGACTGGCCCTGTGGGAGGAAGGAGCCCCGAGGGACAGTTGCACCCAGCACCCTCCACTGGGCGTATGAGTGACAGCTGGCTCACTGCCCCCACTTCACAACAGAGCCTGTGGCACTGAGCATTCTGCTCCCTGCCCTGATCAAGCAGACCCTGTCACTCACGGTGCAGCGGGGGCAGGTGGCAGATGCTTGGTGTCCCAAGGGAACATCCTCAGTTAGGACTGTGATGTGGCACCTGACAGGGCAGGGCACAGCCACATGAGCCAGCACTTGTGCAAGGCTGTGGGTGGCAGGCAGCCCCACGCCGATGCAGGAGCGCATGGGCGCGACCACAGCCCCAGAGGCAGTTGTGTGCGTCAGGGGAAGCTGAGTTTCAGAATGGAACATGGCATTGCCCCACACAACAGCAGGTTTTAAAGGTGCCCCTAGCCCACTGCTGTCCCTACCCAGAGCTGTCTAGACCTGTGACTTTCCAAATATTTAGTAGTAGAATGCTTTAAAAAAATAATTACTAATTACACGCACACGTACACTCTCACACACACAGTTCCACAGAATTAAAAACCAGCAGAGCCGTCCTCAGTAAAGCCGGGGGCCATCAGGGCCCAACCCCTCTTTGTCAAACTTGGGGGAAACTGGGTCCCAAGGCCTTGTTCACTGGTGCTCACTGTGCGGTGGCAGCCTGAACCGCACCAGGCCCAGCCCTCTGTGCCAGAGCTCCTAGGGCTGCGCTCGGCTCCCAGGCCGGGGGCCACCTGGTGTCCCGGGCCCCAACAATCTCATTCATGGTGCTCTGGCTTTGGGCTAGAGCTTACATAATCTTTGTAACCTTCGCAGGGTGAACCCTTCAGTCTTCTGTTTCTTAGTGCCCCTGCCGGCTCTGGCACAGTGAGGCCAGGGAGATCAGAGATGGCAACCGAGGAACCAGGGCCTTTCCCAGCCAGTGCCAGAATTCTATTCATTCCTAGTCATGCTTCTTTATGTCACTCAGAAATGAAATACTTGGGAAAATCATCCAAGAACGAAGTGGAAAATATCCTGTCCCCCAGCTTGTATAGCATCATTCATCTGGGAGCATATAGATTTAAATTCTGCCAAGGTCCTCCGTAAGCTTAGTATTTATATATTCTGAAAATCTTAGTAGTCTATGTTAACTTTCCAAAATCCCCCCCAACAGTAAATCCAGCAGGGTATGTGATGCGACAGTGCCAAGCGTGGTAGGAGGGGCAGACCTGGCCAGGGTGTGGCCTTGCGGACTGGAGCCTGGCCTCGCCCGCCATGCAGGGCGGCCCCGGAGCTCCTGGGCCCAAGTTAACGGTTCACAGGGACCAGCGTGGGAGGAGCACAGAGAGGGCAGTTTTTTGCTCGGGGCACAGTCTTTCCTGGCTGGATCCACCTGGTTGCTGCTTGTCTAAAGAGCCCTGCACTCAGAATTCAGCTTCTTACACATACGGTCTTGTTTCTCTGATTTTTCCTTTTTTCATCCAGATAACACCGCCTTTTACAGGAGACATCTATCTCCTTAGCATGCCCACTAATCAGTCTCTCAAGGAGCCCCACCCCACCCTGGCACCCACACCTCTGGCTGCAGCCTGCAGCCTGGCCTGGTGGCTGAGTGTTTTTTTTTTCCCTGCTCTCCTCTCCACCCAGAGTCTGAAGGAAGGCCTGACCGTGCAGGAACGCTTGAAGCTCTTTGAATCCAGGGACTTGAAGAAAGACTAGCAGTGCCCATTCGACCTGAACACAGCCTGCCCTGCTGGCGGCAGCACAACCCAAGCGCTGTTTCTTGTCTGTACCTTTATTTTTTATTATTATTATTATTATTGCTATTATTGTCATCATTAACTGTGGGTATGGATGCATGAGAGAGACTGGTTTATGGGTTGTTCACACTGTTTCCCGCCATGTTGACTCCAACCTCCTTCGTCTTTATCAAAGCTTTTTTTACACAGAATTCTAAAACTAGCCAGGAGTGGGGCCGGGAGAGCCTCCCGCCGCACGTGCGTTAGCCCGCTCCGTGCTGCCGCCCCGCACTCACGGTCAGTATTAAGGCCCAGCAGCCTGGATAAGCTAGCGCTGTCTGCGTGGAATCAGGCCTAAGGCTCGGCGCTGCTGCACGTAGTGGAGGCTCGTCCAGGGTGGTGTGGAGAAGAGGACGAGCCGTCAGGATGGGGTTTGCCGGTTCCAGCACTGACACCCACAGGCCGGGAGCAGTCAGAGAGCAGGACGAGGGGCATGGTTACCACCTTGACCTGCCACTTCTGGCTTGGAAGGAAAACAGCATTTTTTGTATTTGTTCCACTAATGCAGCTTAGAACCACACCCCAGGTAATCATGGTAAACCTTTCACAACCTGAAAAATGTTGAAAGCAGCCATTCCTATTTTTGTTTGTTTTTTATTAAATCTTGCACAAAACCCCCGGCCCTCTCATTCCTTCCTACGTTCGCTCCTTTCTTGGTCACCAGAAACCCCATCTCTTCATAACTGCTTAGATTGCTGACCGGTGGCCTGGGGTTTCAGACTGGATTACAAAGGATGAATTACCTTCCAGAATCACTAGAAAAGATAACAAGGCTTTAACCTTTCTAAAAGAAACCTTCCCATTGCTTTTGAAAAGGTTGAGAGGAGACCCCTATGTTAAGTCCAGGAGAAAGTGCAGAGGATGTCGAATCAGACGAAATGTGCCCGGGACCAGATGTTAAGTCTGACTGCGCTGAGCTGACAGGTTCTCCCGCAGTGCTCAAAGAGCGTAACAACCCATAGTAACAACTTCTGCTTTTACTAACAGTTTGACTGGGGCCACTTTCAAGGGCTCAAAACCACCTACGGCACTTAAGTCTTAGTTGAGGTTCCTAGTATGGTCCCATGAAAACATACAGGGAAGACAAGGTGTATAAACCACCCCAGCCAGGCGGGACCCAGCCCTGCTCGTGGCTGGCGGTGCTGGAGGTGGAAGGTTGGGGAGGATGCTGGGAGGAACTCCTCCCCGCCTGCCTGCCCCGTCCATTAGCACGGTCACTGGATTGCCAAGAGCACGTTAGTCTGACAGTCTGTGGGCACGTGAGTACTTGGGGGTAAACTGCAGGTCCTCTGGCTCAGTTTCTAGGTTAAGTTAATGAAGAAGGTGGTGGAAGTGCCGTGAGGGTGAGACCCGCTGCTGCCAGGCTGCGTCCCACACGGCTGAGTGGAGGTGCCGTCACTCTGCCAGCCTCGCTCTCTGCTGCTATCACAAGCTTCTAAGAGTTAACTCACACTTAGCACGCCACTGCTACTGGTCTTCCATGCTCATAAGAACAGTATTAGTTATTCTTTAAATTCTACTTATCAGCCACCCTGCCGTTACACTGGTACACAGATCCCAAGCTTTCTGTGTCAGGCCCGGGGAGTGTACAGAAGGACCCTGTAGGGTGTGCGGTTTCCAGAATGCTGTGGCAGCTGGTGTGTCCTGGGGGGCGGCAGGGCACCGTGCTCAGCAGGATCTGACAGGATGGGGCATTGCTTTCTGGTAGCAAGCAGGCTCTCTGGGCGCTGAACTCACGTCCTGTTCCTCTGTGACTGCCCCACCTCCGGCACTCCCAGTCAGGCCCCCTCTGCCTTTAAAACACTCAGTGCTTTTGAATGGGGGTGAGGAGGGGGAGAACCTGCTGTCACTTAGGCCTCCGTAAAGGCCCTTTCAGTTGGAGGCAACAGGACTCCCTCTCCTGGGGCTGGTTCAATCTGGGTGTTACTGGGAAATGGACTTGGAATGTTTAAGCCAGTCAGGAAATGGGGGCGCTGTGACTCCTCTCTAACAAAGGCAGCACCTACTGCCCACTCCCCGTCCCCCAAAAATAAAAGCCTTGAGCCTGTCCTGGCCTTTCTGATTGTTCTCACACAGTGATGACTACTGCCTGGCTCAGAACCAGGTCTGAGCTTCCTGCTGATGAGTCCCGGCCTCGGCCAGCGTGAGTGGGACAGAGTCAAGTCTCCACCTCCCACCCTTGTCCACCACAGCCGCCCTGAGTAGCCGTCAGTGTCCCCTGCACTGGCACCCGAGCCCTGAGAAGGAATTTAGCCATCAAATTGCAGAAAGAAGAAAATAAAGATATCGAGCTGGTTTCTGCGTCGGCAGGGAGCCCGTCAGGGCTCGGCCATGGACGGGCTGAAGTAGGTGACTGGCCTGGGGAGCCCCCCGCCTCCCAGTGAGAGATGTTAACAGGGGTGGACTTTCACAGTTGTAATTAATTGCCTGTAAATATTTATACTGCACATGTAATCTGTTATAACCTGCAAGGAACCTATTAATGGGATAAAAACTAAACACTTTGACTTGGCTTGACAGCTTTGTGAATATATGCATGAACACCTGCGCATGCCCGCTCGAGCACACCTGCAGAGTGAGTGCTCTCTGCTGGTCAGGTTCCGTCCTCAGCAGCCACAGTGCCAGAACCTGGCCGAGCGTGAGTGCTGGTACTCCAGGTGGCCCGGGGTTTGCAGCCTACCCAGGGGGGTGACATGGTGCCTGAGGTGGCAGGGGAGTACTCTGCCTTTGGAAATGAGACTGTGCTTAAGGCACTGAAATGGGTTTGTGGGAGGTAGCGGTCGCCACCGTAGGTGACACTTGAGAGTCATATGGGAATGTGGGTTTGTCAAAAGCCAAGAGCAGAGACCCCTCCACCATGGGCCCAGCGATGAAAGGCAGAGAGCAGGTGGTGAGCAGGCCCCAGGCTCTGCCAGTTCAGGACACGGTTGTGCTCGGCATCTGGCCCTAGTCTCACTCACTGACCCAGCAGCTCGACACTGGGCACCCTGCATAGGTCAGACTCAGAGGGAGTTGTGGTGTTTTTTTTTTTTTTTTTAAATTTATCTATGCATACAGAAATGGGGTACAGGCTAGAAGTTCAGGGGTGGCAAGAGGGTTCGCCGGAACAAGCAGAACAGGCAGACTGACACAAGTCCATGCTGAGGGGAACAACTGGCAAGACAGGAGAGGTCTGCCACGCCATGTGGGTCCGGTCCTGGATGGGGATCGAACTCATAGTGAAGCAGCCACAGCTTGGCTTAGCATTGCAGTGCAGTGCTCCAATCTGCTGCACACCAGGGAGGGCCCAGAATTGTTTTTAAAAAAATCAAATTGTAATTGGAGTTGCCTAAAAGGAATTTTGACTGCAAGGGCCAGAAAACAACTGATAGCATAAAAAACATTTTTAAGGCATGTATTTAATACCATTTATTTTATCATTGCTGCCTGGCGCTCCTTTAGTCCACCTGGCTTCAAGCTTCCCCCTCTGGGGCCAGGTGCCTTTCCCTGCAAAGGGTGGTGTCTCCTCAGAAAGGCTCTCCACCCTCCCTGGTTGCTGCACCTGATTGCTGCAAAGAGGAGCCTGCTCCTTCCGGCCGCCCCTTCTGTGAGCCTGCGCTGGCTCCAGAGCAGGCGTGGGAAAGCCTGTTCCTGCTCCTTCTGCCTGCCTGGTGTCTTTATGGCGCCTGCCATTCACTGTACCTCAGTCCTAAAGCTGTTCTCTGGGATTCAGGCCTCATTTCATATAGAGTGAGAAGCATACAACATCAACATTTGTTTTTCCTGCGAATAATGAGCTCATCATTGTCCCAAAGAAGCTTTTATAAACACAATTTCGAAGACTAAATGCAGAATTCAATGAGCCCTCCATGACCAGAAAAGGTAAAATTTTAAGTATTTTCAAAGTTTTGTAAAGGACACGGAAATGGATCAGCCCTAAAAGGAATTAAATTTTTAAAGACGGTTTGGCACTTCTCTTAAATCAGAGTATTTCACAACTGAGGATTCTGAATTCTTAATGTTTTACGTTAAAGAGGGATTGGCTCCACAAACCGCTGTTAACTCATCTAGTGCCCTCTCCACTCAGCTGAGAGAGTGACCAGTTCCCAGTACCCCCACCATGTCTGAAAAGCCTTGGGAAGAATGCTGCTGAGAACTCACAAGGTTCTTAAAATTAAGGTAACTGCACACCAGGTTCCCATCACTCATGATAGGCTCAGCTCTTGTCCCTTCTCCCACTCCTAAGAGGAGTTACTAGAAGCCCAATCAGTGAATACTGCAGGGCCCTCAGGTTTCCAACAGATTTCACTCTTGAGAGGTTATTGGTACAATTCTCAGCTTTTCCATGACACCAAATCCCTACACACTGAGCTCAGACATCAGACTTTCAACCCTGGAAAAACCACCTCACCTGCGATCACTGTTCTCAGCCCCCACAGGACATAGCAGGCTAGAGCACATCTGCCCTCCAGCCCTTAGGAGGTGGGTGCACACTGTACTGACGCACATGTTGTGTATTTTTACCCAAGTTGTGCAGGCAACTCAGCAAGGTTATACTTCGCACAGTTGAGCACTACATGAGAATCAGCCTAAAGCAATCCATGAAACCACTCCTTTTAGGTTCTTATCTTGAGAGGAAGACATGACGTAAACCCAACATGACAATCAACCTTACCAATTCTCAGAAATTTTGTCTGCTGGGAAAGACTCGGCCTCGTTCTCTTGCCACTTTGCATAATCTCATCTCATCTATAAAGAGAAGAGGCCTCTTCTCTGAAGCATCTCCGCAGCAGGCTCTCACAGAGCAGCAGTAACTAGCTACCAGCAGACCCCGCCCTGCAGACAGGTGCCCACCTGCTGGGATGTGTCGGGGCCACTCCAGGTGTCCTGTGCAGGGCTCCTGAAGATGTGAGCTCCCCGTGGCACGCAGATTCTCTATCTGAACGCAACTTGTTTACTTTCCTCAAAATAACCTGTATATCACAGCAAGCAGTGTAAATATCACTTAGAGTTACTGCAGGAACTTTGTGACTTTAAACGTCTTATATAGACATCCCTTTTTAAGATAGGGAGATAGCTTTGAGTACAATATTAACCCCATCCAATGACAAGGAAGTGTTTTTAAAGATCAATACATCTTTTAAAAGCTTTAGTCATTTATCAGATGGTTTTAAAGAATGTATATACATGCATACAGTATCTAAAATAATGATCACCCTTATGCTAGTCCACATATTGTTTTCCACTGAACAAACTGATGGAAGTATCCAAAAGTGGAACATTCCCCCTATTTGGTAGGTTATTTGGGGGGTGTGGGAATGCTCAAAAATTGTTGCCATATAAATGATTGTAGCATTCCAAGACCCCCCAAATAACCTACTATATCATGCCAATGAGGAAGCGTCTGCTTTCAGTAGCAGGGGAACTTGTTCTTCGTAGAGCTGTCCTCGAGGACAATGAAGAAAAATGGTAGTTCCATCTTGACCGGACCCTTTAGGAACAGAAATCTAACACTTGTGGTGTGACTTCAAATGGTGCAGTCTGGTCCCAGTGGTCAAATGGGGGACCATGAGAACTTGCTGGCAGGGGTCTGTGCAGTCCCACCAGCCATCTGGATTCCCTTCTCCCACTACCCGCCGTGTGTGTGTGTGACATGGGTCTCAGTCCTCATCACCTTACAGCATGCATGTGAGACTGGTAAGGAAATATTTAGTCCCAAGAGACTTAAGAACTGGATTATCCCAGAGTAGTGTCACCCCAGGAAGACTTTCAAGTCTCCTGGGAGTGAAACATGATCAAGGTCTCAAGGTGCAATGTCAGCGAGGGCTCCTTCCTCAGAACATAGTCCAGAATGCCCATCTTGAAGGAGCTTAGTTTGGGAGCGGTGGCTGTCAGCTGCCAGCCTCCCAGGCCCTGACACCCCTTCTATCAGCAGTCACATCACACGCTGCAGTTCTAATGTATAGAAAGCTAGGAATAGATTATAAACACTAAATTCACTACTGTGTTACGTGTGTATCACCAAACTTCAAATACCTTGGATTTTAGGATTTTATGTTAGTATTAATAACTTATTTACTGACATTGTTAGAATTCAAAACCTGTTAAGTGAAAAGAGCTCATGGGGTTTTCCTAAGGAATATTTGTAAAATGTAAAGTTTCTAAGTGGCTCCTTAACAATTAGGATTCTTCTCCCAGAAACGTCTATAAAAGTATCTCACTTCAGCTACTGGGCAAAAACATGCTATGCCAAACTCTGGGGCCCAGCAGGTAATCTATGAGCAAAGTGAAATGTGCACTTTTCTGCTGTAATAAATTTGAAATAATTCACAACGAACACTTCCACTACAGCTAGTTAGTTACTTCAGGTGATACACATGAAAACAAGCAGGTAGAACATTTAACTACATTAATGCTGAAGGAAACGCGCAGATTAAAAATCCCTTGTAGAAGCACGCGGAGGCCCGGGCCGGGTGACTGGGCACAGCCGCCTGACTCCAGCCAGGGCGCAGGGCCCAGGGCCCCTGGGCTCGCGCCCACCTGCGGCCGTCTTCTGCCAGGCGGCAGAGTACCGAGAGAAGAGCCGCCTCAGCTAAGTGTCTGACAATTCAAGACGTTGATGGTTTAATTTTGATCCTTTTTTAAACCAACTTTCTGATCAACTGTTAGCTACATTTGAAGTGTTATTTTGTCAAAATATTTATTCCTTTGTGTGCCATGCTAGATTCCCATGGATATAGCTGATCATTTCTATTTTGTAAATATTAACTTTACATAAACTATATCATAATAAACTATTTTTGCATCCCCCTTTGCATGCTGTGAATGAGGTTTTGTTTCACATACAAATGCAGAATACGTATTTAGGTCAAAAGCCTGAAACTGATTGAAAGCATGGAGATTGCTCTCGTTTCTACTTGTATAGACTTTTTCTTAGTGTTTTTGAAGATTTGGATTGCCATTTTTCTTTTGCCATCATTTTTAAAGTAAGAAATTTCACATAAAAACCCAGAATTCACATGTACACGCAATGCATAGTAAATATTTTATACTCTGAGTCCATTAAATTAAAATGCATTAGCCCAGTTATCAAAATTAAGGGGGCAGTAAAGAGCACAAGGGCCTATGGGTGTGGTTCACGGGCGAATTGGTGGGAATTTTATGGGGACCACCCTGGAGAGGGGAGAGCACGCAAGCATGCAGTGTACAAAAATGAACAAGGGGGCCCTCCCTGGTGGCACAGCAGGTTAAAACACTGCACTGAGAAGCTAAAGCCACTTACGCATGAGTTCCATCCCACCTGCCCTGGAGGAGATCCACATGGGTGGCAGACCTCTCCTGACCCGCCCGCTGCTCCCCTCAGCAGTGTACTTCGTCGATCTGCCTGTTCTGCTCCCACTCTGTCTTTGGTGAAGCCTCTCACCGCCCCTGAGCCTCCAGCCTGTACCCCGGTTCTTTATGTACAAATAAATAAATCTTAAAAAAAAAAAATGAACAAGGATGGGATATATAAATATTTTTTTAAAAAAATAA